CTGCAAAGGCACACGACGTTGACGGCCGCGGGCATTGAAGAGCGAGGGGGGGAGGGTGTGGACAGGCATTATGGCCGTCCGCCACAGATTATACACTAGAAAGCACATAAGGAACGCAGGGAGATTCACTCATGAGCCGGAATCCTCGTCGCTGGGCCAAGCAAGGGCAGAATACCTATGAAACAGTGTCTGGGCATTTAGCTAGTACCGGCGCTGCCAGTATCGTAAATAATTATGTGAGTTATACTACCGTCTGCTTGATGGCAGCTTATGAATATTACCCCCCCCCCAAGTGGCTGGTGGACTTCGGCCTAAATAATGATATCAAAGTTTGGTCTAGGGAAATTTAAAATCTACAAAAATACATAAACAAAAACAGAAGGGGGGTGATTAATCGCCTAGGAACTGACCATGTTGTTTATCTTCATCGAGCATTTCGTCTCCAAGACCGAGACCACCCTTGGCCATCTGTACGCCACTGGCACTCTCCTCGATAATGAAATCGTCATCATCATCCGAATCCACCTGATTTTCCGTTAATAGTCCAGAAATTGGCGGAGCAGACGGCGCGCCTTCCACGACATTTGCACTGGCAGGGTCAGAGAAAAGATAAAAGTAAACAAGAACTCTGTAGGCCACTGGCCATAGCATCTCACATACCGGGGTGGGACCCAGTTATCCCGTCGGCTAGCAAGCTTCTAAGCCCCGACTGCTAACTTGTCGTGCCGGGCTCAATATGAGGAACTTAAGTGACGTATCAGAGCTGGATCGTCCTCTTTCTCTCTCTCTACCCTTTCAATACCCCCATTGAGCTGTTCAAGTCAAGTCGATTATGGATGAGACTGGACGCAATGGCCGGTGAGGCCATCTACCGAACCACAGCCATTCCCCCGAAAATAAGATTTGACTGGTTTTCCATAAAAATGAGCCTAATGGTTGATTTTTGGGCATTTTTCCATCGCATGCAACAAGCGAGCTGGTAAGACGACGCCTGAGGACTGCGATCATAAGCACTTTCCCTGCGGCGAACTTACGCGTGCTTTTCACGAAATCTGCCCTCTTACGATTGGGAGGTAAAGACCGACTCCCGTTGAAGACCACAGCCACGAACATCTACTCCTTCACCTGTTCATGTGAGGCAGGATATATTGGCCGAACAGCGAGATGCCTGGAAAAGAGAGTACTTGAACACGTATGGGCCTGGTTAAGTAAAGGTGAAACTAAATAGATCTCGAGCTCATTTCTCGCACACTTTATCGATAAAAATAACCGAGTCGATACTGATGAAACACTTCAGGTCGTCTACCGGATACCAACCAACTTCTACAAAGGCTTGCGCCAACGAGTGTTTGCAACAACAAAAGCACTGGCTACAAGGTTAACGAATCCAGTGCTGTATTGTCAGAAAACGCTAGCAGAAGCCCTTTCCCTCCCGTGCCCGACGCCGACGCAAGGTGACGATCGCAAATCGCCCCCACCCACTAGGGACAGTCGTTCGATCCATACAAATGACAGTGACCACGCTATGCACCTGACCCCTGATCAATACCCAAAACATAATCCAACACGCCAATCGGCGCCCAAGTTAGACAATTAATGATATCTCTAAACGTTTAAACTTTATTTGTTTTGCAAAGTAATTGGCCTGATGAAGATTTGCCGAAAACATGTTTGCCTAAACTGACTTTTCAAATTAAATATGAGAATATTTGCAAAAATTATATAAGATTTGAAAATCGCGAGAATACGTTTGAGGTGCCCAGTTTAGCGGGTTATTTGTCATAAGAAGTCAAACAGATGCATGTGCGATTGCTTTAATGCGGATAAGTGACTGTTTATTCGAAGTAATTTGCAAACGCACTGGGTAGTTACTCACTAATATGAATTTGCGGCATCTTGAATGATTACATCGACAACTACTGCGCATAGACGGTTTCTATAAAGACAGTTTATGAGAGAACTGTCTGAAGCATAAATGGTTAATCGCCAAAAGAGTGCTCAATGCTAGTTACGCCCGATCGGCTGAATTGTGATAGCAAAAAAAGGTTAAAGAGTACAACCCACAAAAGGTGAGGCAGAAATGCCCGCTTCTGACTTATTGAAGATCACTAGTCAGACCTACAGCAACCTCGTGCGGGACCAACCAAGGCTTACAATTCAAACGCTTTTGTTATTGATCGCAAAATAGAGCCTTCAATCGCCAAACCATGTGCTAGCTATCCTGCCGGTTGCTATGGCGATTGGCAACGAAGTAATTCGGCTGCGGCGCTTCCCCGAGCTGAATGTGAGTCGAAAGGAGTGCTTTCTGTTCCAACATTGAGTAAGCAAATCTGAAGTAAAAATCACCCATATTAGGCATTAAACTAGCTATGCATTACAGAGGCAGTCTACGGCCTCTGTTGTTTCTGTCTAACTTAAAATAAAAGGCGAGTGCAGCCGTAAAAGCACCATGGTTATTGACTTACTCCGTATTGTCTGGCGGTGGGAGATCTTTGGTGCCATTTCTTTGTTCGACTGGTGAGGGTCTGTCATAGAGGTAGAAAATTGAGTAAAATAACTGAACATAACACTTCTAAACACAACAACTGATAGATTGAATGCTTCCAAGAACTAGCGCTCAAACACAGAAAATAAATTGATGAAAATCGTTTTTCGATATTTTAAGAGGGCCGAAAAAGTGTTACTCGTTAATCTGTATAGGGAAATTGAAAGGATAGCGGACAGTAGAAGGCGGTAGACAGAATATGTGGACTTACTTCTTTTGCAATTCGGGCTGTTCCTGCATTGGCGATTGACGTGCTAAAAAGTGCAGTTCGAGATGACTTGGTGAGCGAGCGGACAAATATGAATGAGGTGACAAGCTGTACTGCGTGTGGATTGCAAAAAAAGAATATCCATATATTAGAAGCTGTGAGAGACACAGGCACAGGCAACGAGGAGGGGAGCTAGTGACATGTAGGATACCTGCTTTGCTTCTGATTACTATACAGATGGAAATCAAAAGTAAAATGATGAAATACCTTTTTTGCAACAAGCACTGCCAGACACAGGTCTCAGTGGAAGGAAGAGAGTTAAATGCTGTGCACGACATTACAAAGTTACCTTCAAGGGGCTTTCGCTTTCCAGTCGCTGAAGGCGGCCTCAATATCTTTTGACCCGCAGCGGACTCCTCCGCGGGGGTCACCTTCACTTGTGGTGAATTCTCACGTTTGGCGCTGGGGGTATCTCTTCGGGAAGCTGGAGACCGGGGTTGCGATCTCGTCTGCTGGCTCGCACTGGATGCTGCCCCTGTGCGTTCGCCGGGTTCTTCCATCCTCTTGGTTTCCTCGGCTTCATTTTTCTAAGTATTTTGTTAAAATGAAGTTGTTTATGTTGTTTAGTTATGTGCTTCCTGCTAAATGACCAAAAATAGCTGACGATGATCATTCGGTGCTTGAGAACTAGATTAATTTTACTTTCTCTAACCTAATTAAAAAACAAAAGAGATAACAGTCCGGTGTTTTAATGTGTGACTAAGATTGCTACATATTTCAACCCCTGACTGTTAATGACAGACATTTTTGAAATAGCGAGGCTGTGTTCAAATGTATCTTTGGATGTCATGCGATTCGGTATAAAACTGACTTTTAAGTGAAGGGAAAACCAACAGTGTTTTCAAATGCTCATATTATACGAAGTTCATGACAAAATTTCATTGGTAAAAAGCGATGGCTTCTGCATCACAAATATGAATGATGTTAAAGTTACTCTGAAAACTTCATTAAAACTAGCCATTGAGGAAGTCCATTGCTATGAATAGTTAAATATGGTTTAAATTCACCAAACTGTCTCATAACTCTGCTTGAAACTCGACGTCGACGCCCATGTTTGTCGACCGAGGCGTTTTAAATCATATACAAATGTGTCTGATAAAAAACCCTTAAATTATTACTCCACAAAATCGGTACTGAAAGCTACTATCATGGCACGCAATAAATACTTTTGTAGGTAAAAAGGCCTTTGAAAGCACTCAGAACAAAACAGATCGGATAAAATCCCGGGTAGTTAAAACAAATATTTTCATTAAAACACTTCGCCTTGTTGAACATAAGCTTGGAAACTACACTCTTAATTCAATAAAACTATAAAAGTGTGAGCCCGTTACTGAAAGGTGCCTACTTTCTGTCTGGCGCTCTGGCCTGTTTTGTCTTCTGCCAATTTTTTATAGCTGATCCACAGAAAAAATAGTATGTCAAAATACTTTGATGATAGACAGTCCTACATACACACTTGCGAGTTGTTATCTGGTCGGTGTGGATAAGTAATTATTCTCAGAGTAGGACGGTCTCATTTGTGTTGCTTGTGTGATTCTATCACCAAATGTCGATAATGGTATCGACTTAAGATGTAGACGCAACCGTACAAGCATTACTGGATCGGTTTAATTTAAGCTGTTATCAGCTATGAAGATCAGAGTTTCATGCACCTTCGTTTTCGCCGAGAAGCTTGGATCACTGTTTGATTTGGTTAATCTAGGATGTCTTACAAGGCATAGCAGGCTGATCGAAATTGTAATTATCGGTCGATCAATTTGCATAAAAATGTAGGCCCCGAGTTTGATTCTTTAGGTTCACATATTATCTAATTGCAAGATTTTCAAGTTCGAAATCAAGGGTTCGCTAAATCTCTAAGGTGTGCATGTATAGCGATCCAGAGATTCTGGTCTACATGCTGCATTGTCAGCGGATATATATATATAAGCCCTCTGATTTTTCTTAGTTGTACGGCGTAGTTGCAGTCAGCATGCATGCCAATAAGCTTGTAGACTGCGACATGCAACCCACTCAGCGGAGTGTGGTTCATATCCTTGGATCATAATTTGAATAAGTTTAAGCAGTCGAAAGACCGATCTAATGATCATTTTATGCATTATTTTTTTCTCCAAATGATGAGCCGCACATCACTTGTTCAGGGAATATTTTCCAAGCCTCCGTTACGCTCGCCAAAATCTATGAAACAGTTTTCTTAAGACAATTCACGCGGTTCGCGTCGTTTTTAACTTTTGTATAGTACCATCTCGTGATATTTGTTCACGCCTAAAAAGCAGCATGCGGGTGCAGGTACGTTTAAGATCGTCTTAGTCTATCTTAGTAAAAAAAATCGAGGTGGGCGGTTAGAATCTTTGGCTTGTTGCAGACCAAGCAGCTCGAAATTCTGGATATAAAATAAACTGTGCTGTCAAGTTTACTTGACTTTTATGAATTTTATTCTGGAGTTTTTTTTGTTTGCTTCAGTGAATTTAGGAGATAGAAACAACCAATTACCTTTTCGTGTGATTTGTGGTCCCTCGGCGTTCTTCTTGATTCAGCTGTCTATTTTTAAATACAGTAAACAATTTGTAAATAACCTTCTTAGATTTCGATTTATCAGCATGCTTCGATTGTATGTCATCTTTATCCACCTTTCGCGTTTCTTCACCAGAATGTTTCGGTCGTTCATTTCGGCGTTCAACATCGAATTGTCGCTTCGAGCCTTCATTAGCCACAGCCTTCTTAGAGGATGTACCTAAATTATTCGTAAATACTCAGTCGCAAACCGTTTTCTATTTTCTTATCACCTTCAGTACTCACTGGAGGCTCGGTACCTCCGGAAGTATTTGAAAGGACTTTTGCGACACATTCAGCGTTATTTATCTAAAGTAAATAATTTTATGAAAACGTACTCCTCGGTTGACTGCTTCGGCAAGGAGCTGAAGTAGCAAATTTGTCTTATCAGCTTCTTTACCGGCAATTATACTGGATATACGAATAGGAGGCACACGAGTGTGTACAACAGCAAGAAACTCGAGAACTTTTTTCAAGAACTGAACTTTAGCTTCTTTTTCCTTAACGTTATCGGCTTGCATTTCTTCGGGGGTGAATAAGCCTTTCATTACACCTGTTGATCGAATTAACTAAGAGTCCTATAGGTTTTCAGACAAAAAAAAACTAACTGATGTACAGATATCATGAATAAAACGAAATGGAGGTCGTGATAGAAGTTTTTCTGTAAGTGGTGGCTTCTTAATAATCTTTCCTAGTGTATCTTGCGTTCGTTTGATAATGCGTGGATCGACGTCACCCATTATCTGGCAAATGTGTTTTCAACAAAACCAATAGGAAAATAAGCTTTTAAGTACTTCACCGATTGGTCGTTGCCATGGCAGTACTGCACATAGTATTGTCAAAGTTTACTATGGCCGTTATAAATACTCACAGTAAACAAGAAAGTAAAATCCTCAAACTCTGAACTCGATTTTAAGTCTCCAGATTCCAAAAGAGTTCAGTTTTTCTCTGCATCTGCCTCCAGTGGACGTAAACCCAAGGTAATTGGTGAACTTTCAACAGAAACCAAGTAATCGGAAGGTTGGGTATGGGTTGCGGAGCTGAGTATAGAAAGCAACGCACGAGAGGGAGTACACTAGAAAGTATCGCAAGGATACGAAAATGCGAAAACGGAATCACACCCAAAGATTTAATCTGAGACTAAATTATTTTAGAAATACATTGGAGTCCGGTTAATGTGGACACGGTTACTGTGGACAACCACTTAATGTGGACAGTTGGCCAGGAACGGAATTTCTCCATAGCAAAACCTCCGGTTAATCTGGACAGCCACCGCTTAATGTGGACAGCACCAAGCTGTCAACCGGTCGGTCGACCCACAGATTTTGTCACAAATCCAGTCCAAATCGCCCGCAGCGGGGAATTCCCGCGAGCAGGAC